TTATTATATATCATTATTGATATTATAATTCTATAAACTTTACTCCGAATTATTATATTCTATTGTAGTCAATCCAGACGACAGTTCATCACTGTTAGGGTATGTTTAGGGTATCTGCTAGTCGAACAGCTGTGACCAAAGAGCTCTTCCCTATTTTATTTGATTTTGTATGCATCTTTATCTTCTTTTCTTTGGCATGCTTGCAAATCCCCAACGTTTCGCGCAGCGTCTCAAGGCACTTTTTCTTTTAACTTTAATATATTTAAATTTTTTCTTTTATGAATTTACTTTTTTATTGATTCACAGTGGATATAARCAACGTGAAGCAATGTGTGCTATGAGAGACTCATAACGAATTCATTGAGTTATCATAACACCATTATGTAGACGATAATTATATTCAAGAATTGACATATAGCTAAACTAAATTATCTTTTAACTCTATTTGTTATCATTGTTTCACAATTATCAGCATTCATATTAAAATTATTATTATCAAGACCAGCCTGACCAATATTCTCTCTACAGTTCATGAACGAGTATATGAAATAAATAGTCTATTGCTTATAGAAGAAATTTTTAGAACACAGCTAAATTTGATATTCTTATAATTTATATACTTAAAAGCATTCCATTAAATCTGGGAGTTCGTAAAGAAAACCCTTTTATAAAATTTGTCACCGCTTAGGCGCAGCCCTTTTCGTTGCTGGGGAAAAGTTCATAATAATGCTGTCAATATATCATGCTTCCATATGTGTATGTATATATAGAAGCTTAATAGACTTATGAGCTGTCAGCAAGCCTTAAATCATTTAAAATCCCTTTAACGTGTGCTTAGCTGTTCCCCGAGTTGCTATTGACTCTATGACGAATCATCCCACACATGCATCCATACTATATATCATAGAAGACATCCTAATTGCGACTACTAAAGCAAACTCTAGCCACAATAAACCATTCCCAGAGAGTGAGAGAGAGAGAGAAACAGAGACTGAATGAGATAAACTCCGCCATAAAGACGAACCCTTAAAAACTATTTAAACATTTTATGGCCATGGTACGAAATCATATGGGAAC